ATGCTATCATGATTAGGCTTATGCTCCTGTGATTGGCGCAGTCATTGAACAAGTCTTTTTTGAAGATGGGAACAACAATCGATTCCTTCCAAGAGGAGGGGACCCGATTAGTTTTCCAAACTTTAGAGAACAAAACTTGTAGTTCTCTAACAAGCTTTATTCCACCATCTTTAAATACAGCTAAGGGAAGGCCATCGGAGCCCGGCGCTTTGTGACGTCCCAAGGCTTGGAGCTCCTTAAGGATTTCCGCCTCAGAAGGTGGGTCTTTTGACCATGGGATCTGTGCCGGAGTAACTGTGTGATGCTGATGCTGGAGGCCAGCTGAACTGTTCTCTGAAGTACTCCGCCCAGCGTGCAAGGCGTCGTTATTGACCATGAATGGGCAAGCCGTCAGTTTCACAGATCGTTTCACTCACATCCAAAGTTTTCCTACCAGTGACTCGGATGAGATGGAACAGCTTACGGGAATTTCCCATGGTGGCAACACGTTCCATCTCTGACGCGCGTTGAGTCCACCAGATCTCGCGATCTCTGCGTAGGCTTACGTTAGGTTCACGTCTCATTACAAGCCGTGTTACGTTATGCTCTCTGCCGGTTGGAATTGACTGACGTGCGTCAAGAAGGCACAGAGATTCAGCGGAAATCCAGGGTGTCACGACACGGTGTGTCAGACCACAACTAACTAATCCAGCACAACGTATAACATTGATGGTAAGCGACCAGTACTGGTTAACGTTATCGGGTGGGGTTGGTACTAGCTTTGCAGCTAGTGTTTTGGAAGACAGTTAGACAAGCTGGTTTGAACAGCTTATCACAGTCTAACCGTTGTTTTGTCGTGCGTTTGGGACGCCCACTGAAGCACATGGACTGCTTAGCGCATACTAATGCGTGGTCGGATTCGAGGGAGTTCTCCAGTACGATCGACAGTCTCGAATGTAGCCTCGCCATTTGTGGCTTATCGCGACGTGGTCTATCTGAGTCCGCATCTAACTCGAGGAGGGTGGACGCCAAGTGGCTTATTGGCAGTTGGAGCGTCTGATGTTCGTACTGGTGGGGAACAGGCGGTGGTTGGAACACAAAGCCAACAGCCGCTCCCCGTTTCCCGAGCGACAGGAATCTAGTTCGAAAAGACCTCCTAGGTGGGTCTCGCTCGAAGTCAACCAGCCTACTCTAGCATTCATATATCTTGCTAAAATCACGGTATCAACCCGGGTTGCTTTACGCAGTCTGTTGGAGCGAACGTCGATACGACAAACGAGTCTCATCTATTGTAGCCACGGCTGCTTACCTTGCATGAACCTCTAATTCTCACTGACCATAACCTACTGTCGACTGGGATCCAATCCAGGAAGGCGACCTCAGTTCTCGCACTGAGAGCTTCGCCGACGCCGACGCCGGCAGGACCGGAAGCCGCAGCTTCAGGGTCTCCAGAGAGGCGTAAGTGAAACTTCACAGATTGGTTAGATAGAGACGTCAATCGGAGCGTGGAGCTGGAGTCTTGAATGCGAGATTCTTGAATGCAACACACATCGATGTCTAGGGTCTCGAGGGTACTAGCTAAACACGCCTGTTGTCCTGTAGGCATCGGAGTACGCACATTAAACATGGCTAATTTGAAAAGACGTCGGGGGCGGAGAAGGGCTTCAGTTGGTGGAGGATTCGGTGAGACTTGGACAGCAGTCGAGGTGGGACAAGAGCGAACAGCTGCAAAATTTCCGCTCGAGGCACTACTGCTAGCACGATTGTCCGAAGTACCCGAGAGAGATAGAGGGGTTAGGCTGGTATACCAAAAGGGTGTGTCCGGTGCAGAAAGTATTTCGATTGTTGAAAGTTTAGCGTGCGAAATCATGTCCATCCCGCCTAAAGAGTTGTTGGTCTTCTGCACGCACCAATCTGTATATGGTAAAATTAATTACACTGATAAGGGAAGTTTTCGATACCTATCACCCTTAAAATGCATTCGCTGAAGTCACATTTTTCACATATTAACTTGAGGTTGGTAGTATGAAACGGCTGGACCTTAGTAAATATCTTCTTTACATTTATACAGTTTTTGGTTGGATCAAGCCCAATGTCGAATGTATTAATTACCGCCCAAAAGTTGGGATTTGAACGTAATCGAACAATTTCCCCTAGGCTAGAAACCGGTAAGAGTTAGCAGCCTCGACAGAGGTCATCAATGGTTAGGGTGCAGCATGTATCAGAGGAAACTGGTAAATTCGGTTGAACAGTCAACTTGGTGGACTCCATGCAAAAGCTATTGCCTCCAGTGCTCAAAATTGAAGAAGGGTTAAATAGAACATGGATAAAATGAAAGTGTAATACCTGCATCAAGTCTATTAGTCATTCTGATAAATAAATTCTAGCTACGTTTTTCACATTGGCAATGTTATTTTGCAACGGATGAGCCAGAAAACGTTCAAAATCGAAAAATTGTATATTTCAATGGCATTCGGCTAAGCTAAGCAAAGAAATAAGCGGATATCATTACGGCTATATTGCGTCTGATTTGGGGTAGTATCATATCCAATTCCGTGAACGAGGCTCAAAACATTAAACTTTGAGAGGAACAAATGTAATGAAAATCAGGGTGTTGCACGAGTTTTATCAATATATATATATATATATATATATATATTACAAGAAGTGGTATATGAATGACTGGACAAAATTTCCAAGTCACGACCATTTTCGCGGTTCTGTGCTTGTCAGACACATGTGCCCGGCATTCTTTCGTCACTTCATTCATATACGTGTACCCAGGAAATGTATTTTTGTCACAATACCCTCATTTTTCAACACCAGGTAAATTGGTTTGAACAGCTCTTCCAGAACTAGTCCATTGATGAATCTGTACTACGATTCGATATTTTATAGGTGGGTTAGATGCTACTAACCCCAACAACACTACTTAAGCGTCTTTGTGGAATATTCTACAGATATATATATATATATACATTATATGTATATATATAAATATATATATATATATATGTATATATGTACGTTAAGATATCCTGCGTGTCATGTAAGACCAGCTTGGTGACGGCAAACTTCTGCACACCGATGAATGAATAAAGTGGTAATGTTAAGTGTGCTTCAGTGTGGACTACAACCAATCAATATTCCTGTTACATTCACATCGTTCGAAAAATGGATTGAAGCGAATGACGGTTATTCCACTTCCATATCCGGTTAGCACCATTTGATAGTTATTGCCAATGGAACCCACATCATGTGATCAATCAAAGTTCGATTGACTTTTAGCAATGAGATCGTATTAATGGTGAAATGAGAGAGTGCCACGTCCTTTTGCCATTGCGATGGTTCAGGCGTCCTGCAGGGCGCAGCACACAACAGAGCGAGAAACCACTTGATTGTATTAGGCCTTTCTGGTAACTTGCACTCACCTGATTTCTGAATCCTTGAGTCAACCGCAGTGTGAATGTACCAACTTGTTGCTTTCAGATGAATTATTCAGACGGGGACAAGAATATGACTTACTGGAGATATTAAGCAACACAGTTATCACTGATTGTAAATGCCTAGAATAGAGATCTGATGGGAAGCAGTACAGTTGTTGGTCGAACTTGGGAGACACTATCAGTTTCCGCAAATCTCTTCATCTCAATACTTAAAGTTTTGCGCGCCATGCTCATGAATGTGCATAGTATTACCCCAAACAACACACACAGACATACACACAAAACATTTCTAATGATAGAATCCACTTATACAGTTGCTTCTTTCAATCGAACTCGTTATAAATGTACGGTTTCTCGATTCTGACAATAGTGACCACGGTTCATCAAGTTTAAGATAACCGAGTACCGGAAGAAAACAGTTTAAAAAATATATTTATGAAAGTGACTGTCATGCATGACAAAACTTGTAGCTTCATTTATAATTACTCTATGTACCGTTTTTCATTCGTGTGAAATTCTGTCATTCTTTTTGACATGTTGTTGTCCACCATGGTGACAACCAAATCGTGCGCGTATCTGTAATGGTAATGGAGGTAGTAGTAGTGAAGTTACGCACAGAATTCAGGACACGAACTACGCAATAGGAATCACGGAACACGAATTAGAAAACCGATGACACTGGACCGCAATGGCTCGAACTCGCAACAACCCGCAGGATCGAGACGCGAGGAAAAAGGCCACACGACAGGCGAATCACAAAGTCCTTTATTGAAGGAAATGAAAGTGAATATATATGTACACAAGAAAAGATCATTGGCTACCTTAGTTTCCATCAATCATATTGCATCACATCTTGCGTCATACTGCTCTTCTCTGCATTGTATCTGATTGGCTGGAACGGTCCACCAATGCCGTGTATCCGGAGACTGTGCACGTGCTACTGGCGTCATTGCTCAAGGTCGATTGACTACCAATGTCTGGAAACTGTACCGCGCTGGTCCAGGGCAGGCGTGATCTCGTAGATCCGAATCACCACAGTATCATCCCGTACATGGCCACAGTCTGAATTCTGACGACCAATCGCGAGGTGGTTCACTCATCTCTGTCCTTTAATTAGAATAAGGTTCCCATTACCGCCAGATCCCCGCCATGAGGCGCTTATTGAATGAATTCGATGTTGGAACTTGTCAATCTAGAAACTGTTTTATTGTGACAAAACAATAGTTTTCTTTTATTACCTACCAATGTATGGTGAACAACAGTTGGCGCAGACCCCATAATCAGGAAAACCTGCTGTTCAGTGATGCAAACCGGCAACGTAAGCCCCAGGACTTGTAGTAGCGTGAAGTTCCCTCGGGTCAGGAGTGTTATTGAATTAGACGAAGCTGTCTTCCACCAAAGTTGGATGGCGGTGGCAGGGCTCGAACCTCGGACCACAGGGTCCGAAGTAAGCCGATGACAGTGACTAAACCACTGCTTCCTCACAAGTTTAGATTATTTTTGTAACGAACCCCGGCGTGCAGCGAGGCAAGGAGGAATATGTGGGATACGAAAGGCTTTTTGAACGTGTTACACATGTATCAGTCATCGGAAGCCTGCTTAATCGGTGCAGAAAATTTAGCGTTCTGCATTTTAATTCCACCTACCTTATCAGGTAAGAAGGATATTTACTTTTTGCGACCGGTTCATTCAATTTCTTTGGAGAAATATGATGATCCTAGCCTACGGGCTAACGCCAGCCACGGAGTGACGCGATACAAGTTCAAGACAACTGTGGTGAGTAAACCCTCACAGTTGACTCCAGTCAAGCGCCTATGCATTACCGTGCCTGGACAACTAACCACAGGTCAACTGTGACGACCAGTCAGAAGTCGTGCGGTTCAGTTAGAAGCTGTATAACTTCAAGAATACAGGCAGCCATTGGTGGATACTTGTTTAACAAATAAACTTCCTTTGTACATGATATTTAATCCCCTTGTTTTCTCCCAATAAACGAACTGTTACTTTTGTGGTCTTTTCTCTGCGTCTCAGTTACGTGAGATGGCAGCGTGCAAGTGTGAGTGCGATTCAGTGCTTCCGTTGCCTAATTTGCCATTCGTGATTTGTGCCTACTTCAACTAATACAGAAAACTAAGTCAGCAGGTGACCTTTCTCCGATTAGTGCCTTGCTCGTCAAGAAACGGGCATTCGTCAGCGAGATAAACGAAACGTGAAAAAGGACGGCCGGTTCAATTTGAAGTTATCGACAAAATCAATTGGTGCCCTCTCTTGTTGGAGGTTCAATAACACCTTTACATCGACTGATCTCTGCTGCGATTCAAATTTAGTCATAATTCTCCCTACAGTGGCATACAATAATTGCAGTTAATCCACCCGGAATATCCTGCATTGTTGGTTGTTCCCAGCTTTTTACTCATCGTCTTACTGCGATGTTGTCGATCAACTTCCTTCTAGTTGATGTCTCCCTCGAGTATGCTAAATATTTTACTTCCGTTTATACTGAATCATTTGCACAAGTCAGGAACTGAGAAGTTGGTGCTATGCACCTCTCGAATGCATTAAGTGTCTGTTTCATGTGTATACCTAAAACTGCGAATGCTGGTGTGTGTGTGTGTGTGTGTGTGTGTGTGTGTGCGTATGTATGTGTGTGATTCTTCCCANCTTCCCGCTCCTGCGCCCAATTCAATTCGGAATTCGTGACCTTTGCCCCCGTATAGATCGATTTTTGTGTCCCATGTTTTATTTTTAAAATGTTCCCAAACCTGTCACGTTTCCAAAGAAACGGGAACTGGATGTGCAAATCTCATTCGGACAGAGGAGATACCTGAACAGTTATATGTCATCTGATGGACGAAGTATCAGCACGTATACAGAAGACCTCGATTGGTGGCTATCTGTTTGAACCAGTTGCAGTGCCACCACAACCAACACATTCCGTTTTCCGTGAACAATACTATGTTTGTTGTAGTTTTGATGTATGTTGCACAGTCATAGCCGTTTCACGGGAGGAGGAAGAGGAGTACAGTAAAAATTATCGGCGGTCGAACATTGCTCTTGACTCAACATTGTACCAGTCTGGTCTGACAAACGAACAAACAACGCTCAGGTTAGGCACAAAGTGCCCTCACTTTTCTCAATTGTTCGGACTAATTGTTTGTCGAAAGTAACCTAATGTAACAGCCCCACAAGAAGTTCTATAGCAGACTAATTTCCGTGAAGATTATGTGATTACAGTTTTAGTTCATCTGTTTCACAGTAAAGTTGTCAATTCTGAACATAGTCTTTGTGAACCGAATGAATGCCGATTAAATTTCGTTCCAAACAATAACTTTATCCTACAATCCTACGCTTCCCCCGCATGCATCTTTTTAGTTAACAACAGACAGTATGATCACGTACACACCCACTCCAGATTGTTAAACAGTGAGTGAGAAACCAGTCCAACTATCCCTATTCATTGTTAAAATATTCAGTGGACGAATTTAACACCTCATGTCTGGTGCACATGCTCTGTAGCTCAACCCGGCATTATGTCCACGTTCGAGCCATTTCTCTTGTTGCAGACTAAATACAGTTTTCTGACGGATACAAACTCTTATTGCAAAAGCCAATCAGTAATCGTGCGGCCCAGACACATGCTGAACAATACCAGTAATTGTGGAACGCGATTGGCAGGGGCCTGGATGACCAATGGGCTTGTTTTGTACATATTTAATTCCCCCGATTGAACGAAATTAGTTCGGTCAATAAACGAACTACTACTCCTGTGGCCTTTTCCTCGTATCTCGGTTACGGGGGATATTGCTTGCAATTACCAGTGTAGTCCAGTGCTTACGCCTCATCCGTGATTGCTAATCCGTGATTCTTATTTCGTGATCATTGCGTACTACTCATACTACAAATACTACAGATACTCGCAGATTATCAAGCAGAAGGACACTCTAACAGCCACCGGAATATGCCTGACAGTGAAACGCAGAAATGCGGCTACAAAAGTAGTGAATAGTTTATTCGAAGAATTCAAAGCGGTTTAATGATTTGGATAAGCGAAGATTATGAACGCAGAACGTACAAACCAATCAGCCCCAAAGTTCATCTTGCTATCGTATAGGTGAATAAGCACTGGTCGATTTGATTGGTTTAGCCTGCTGGCTTCTTATTGGTCAGCATAAACCTGTATTGCATAGTTCCTTGGTCAACGTTATCTTCGTCATTACCATATCTGACTGCTCCCGTGGAGGAAGTGAGCAATCTCGGCAAATCAAATGACGAGGCGATCTCACTGAGGAGCATCAACCTAGCTGCTGTTTGAAGGCCAAAGCAACAATAATCACTAACTCCCAAAGTTGGTGGGATCGCGCAACCAATATGCGCGAGGTTTTTTCTTATCTATATGGAAAAATAAAGCATATCTCTCTGGCAAGCCCCTCGTTGACATACAATCGGATGATGCAGTTCTAATCCATGAAAAACACATATCATATATATATTCTTACACAGACTTGTCTGATGAACAGTAGGCGGAGTGGATCTCATTATCACAACGACCTGTCATTCAGTAATGGAAACTGGCAACCTAAGCCCCGGGACTTGTAGTAACGTGACGCTTCCTCAGGTCAAGAGTGGTATTGAACTGGACGACAGCAAAGCTGGATTCCACCAAAGGTGGGTAGTGGTGGTGGTGGTGGAGGGGCTCGAATCTCGGACCATAGGGTTCAAACCAAGCCGGTGGCAGAGAATAAACCACTGCATCATCACCATCACCGCCCCCAATATAAATATATAGATATATTTGAATCAAAGTAACTTGTGACTAGTGGTATGGGATAACCGCTATTGATTTGAACTGACTAGACTTCAACTTCACGCACAGTCTACAGTTCGTCTAGCAAACCATCAACTCGGAAGTACTAGACTCAAGTTTCGCTTTTATTAGACCTCATCAGTAGTGCACATCCATCGCCCCGTCCGGCATTTGAACTCCAAACCCATCGCATGGAAGACGTGTGTGTTATCACTGTGCTAGCCAATTCATCCCAGAACTGAACCGAATTACCAATTCATGTTTGGCCAAATGTCGTCTTCAAAGATGGTCAATTAGTTCACTGATGACCCGATAGCAGCGGTTACAATACAACCTCATGCATGCATATCGAAGAACATTCAGTGCGACTTGTATCTCTCACTGCAGTTTTCTTAGTTCTCGCATAGCAAGGATTGAATTTACCTGAACTTGAGTGTCGTGATAGAATTAGTTCAAGCATTCCAGCTCGAAAGTCAACTAATGTTTTATGCCACGCATCATGAGAGTCCATTCTCTCTAGTACATGATTGCTGATTCATGAAGTTGTTCAGTCTCGTAGATACACGTATTCTAAGTAGCCTGTCTTGTTCCTTTGGTACACAGTAAATTACCCGATCAATGAGAATAATCCCGGTTCTATAAATTGATAACTGTTGCGGCCATACACTACTCACGCAAATTCTTCATCCTGAAAGGACGCAAAATGCATGTATTTGACCTGCAACAAGCTCGCAAAGATGGGTTATGTTATAGCGCAACCCACCGTGTAAATGGAAAATGAAAAACGGCATGATCAACTGCCCGGTGGTCAAGTGGGTGGCATGTTTGCGTTCTGCCTGTGAGGTCCCGGGTTCGATCCCCAGTTGGGTCGATGGATTCGCACTGCTGAT